AGAGATATTGACCAATGATTTCCGCATTCCATTGCATCACCTCTCTTTGGAATGGGCATAAATATGGATCTTATCCAATTGGTTGGCCAGATAGTTGTCCTCCAAATTTCCTAGCAGAAATGAGTGAGTGCTTCCTGTGCCACCTCACTTTCTTGAAAGGTTTCAATTTTTATTCCATCAATTCCTGGTGCCTTGTTCTTTGCCTATTCCTTCAATGCACCTTGGACTTCCTCCTTCAATATCATTGGCTCTTGATCATATGCTACCTCTTGAAACAGTTGAACATCAACCATTTCCTTTTGGTACAGTGTATTCCTTCCATCTTCTTTTTATGCTTTCTGCATCATTCAATAATTTGCCCAGAGAATCCTTTAATAATGAAAATTGAGGCTTGACTTTTTTCTTCAGTTCCCCTCAGTTTGAGAAATGCTGAACGTGTTCTTCCTTTTTGGTTTTCTGAATCCAGATCTTTGCACATTTTATTGTAATATTTTGCTTTATCTTCCTGAGTTGATCTTTGAAATTTCTGTTGAGTTCTTGTACCTCCTCTTTTCTTTTATTTGCTTTAGCATTTCTATGCTGGAAAGCAAGTTTCAGTGTCTCTTCTGACATCCATTTTGACCTTTTCCTTCTTTCATTTCTTCTTAATGACTTTTTGCTGTCAGGTGCCATAAAGTCAGTACTGACTCATAGTGATCTTATACACAACAGAACAAAACACTGCCCGGTCCTAAGATAACATCATAATTGTTGCTACGCTTGAGCCCAGTGATACTGCCACTTTGCCAATCAATCTTGCTGAGGTGTGTGTGTTCCTCTTTTTCTGACCCTCCACCTTACCAAACATGATATCCCTCTCCAGTGACTGGTCCCTACTGCCAATATGTCCAAAGTATGAGAGACAAAGTCTAGCCATCCTGGCCTCTAAGGAGCACTCTGGCTGCACTTCTTCTAACACAGATTTGTTAGTTCTTTTGGCAGCCCATAGTGCTTTCAATATTCTCCTCCAACACCATAACTCAAATGCATCAATTCTTCCTTATTCACTGTCCAACTTTTGCATGCATATGAAGTTATTGAAAATACCATGGCTTGGGTCAGACGTACCTTAGTCCTCAAACTGACATCTTTGCTCTTCAACACTTTAAAAAGTTCCTGTGCAGCAGATTTGCCTAATGTAATACATAATTTGATATCTTGGCTGCTGCTTCCATGAGTGTTGATGGTTGATCCAAGAAAAATGAAGTCTTCGACAACTTCAATCTTTTCTCCATTAATAAGAATGTTGTTTATTGGTCCAGTGGTGAGGATTTTTGTTTTCTTTACATTGAGATATAATCCATACTGAAAGCTATGATTTTGATCTTCATCAGTAAGTATTTTAAGTCCTCTTCACTTTCAGAAAACAAGGTTATGTCATCTGCATATTGCAGGTTGCTAATAAGTCTTCCTCTATTCTTGATGCCACATTTTTATTCATATAACCCAGCTTCTCAGATTATTTGCTCAGCATACAGGTTGAATAGGTATGTTGAAAGAAAACAACCCTATCCCACATCTTTCCTAATTTAAAACCAATTAGTGTTCCCATATTCTGTTTGAACAGCAGCCTCTTGGTCTATGTACAGGTTCTTCATGAGCACAGTTAAGTGTTCCAGAATACTCATACATCACAATATTGTCCATAGCTTGTCATGATCCACACATTTGAAGGCCTTTTTGTAGTCAATAAAGCACAGGTAAATGTCTTTCTGGTATTCTCTGCTTTCTACCAAAATCCATCTGACGTCAGCAATGTTCTATGTCCTCTTCTGAATCTGGCTTGAACCTCTTGAAGTTCTTTGTCAATGTCTGGTTGCAGCTTTATTACCTTTAGTAACGCTTTACTCTCATGGGATATCAACGATATTGTTTGATGATTTTCACATTCCATTGGGTCACCTCTCTCTGGCGTGGGCCCAGATACAGATCTCTTCCAATCAGTTGGCCAGATATTCTTCCAAATGTCTTGGCATAGATAAGTGAGTGACTCCCATGCTGCCTCACTTTCTTGTAAGATTCAATTTGTATTCCATCAATTCTGATTGCTTTGTTCTTTGCCAATTTCTTCAATGTACTTTGGACTTCTTCCTTCGGTATCATTGACTCTTGATCATATGCTACCTCTTGAAATGGTTGAATTATTATCATTCTTTTGAATTCTTTTTCAGTTAGTCCAATTACCTTTTCTTCCTCAGAAACATTTTCTGATTCTGCATCTTGGTCATTTCATTGACCCATTCTCTCTTGTTTCTTCATGTGGGCTAAATTTTTCTGTTTCTGGGACATTGTGGGGTTGTCATATTTGTAAAAACAAAGAGTACAGTTCTCCCAGAGGGTAGAAATCTCTGGTGGATTCCTGCAATTCAAGGAGCTCACAAGGTGGTTGGGGAAGGGATGTAACATGAGAGCTTCTGGCCCCTAGATAGAGTTCCTATTAGCCTTGGTGTTAATCTATGTTCAGGACACTCAGTTTGGAAGTAGTTCATGGGGGCCCTCAATGGAGCTAATTTCAGTATCTGTTAGGATCACAGAGAAGCATGACTGATTAAATGCTGGTCTCTTGGCTCTGCTGGTTTTGTAGGTCTAGAGCCCAGCCTACCTGAATCCAGGCACCAAAGTAATGCAGCTTCCTCACACTGGCATGGCTCCCAACCACATGGCTCTGAATTCCTGGAGAGCAGGGTCTGTGCTCCGGATTTATGAGGTTGGGAGCTGACAAAACTTCTGGTCACCAGGCGAACATGGGGAAAAAAGAAGGAATTGCCATTGTACCTTTCCAGAAACCAATGTGAATCTGCCCTGCCAGGTCTCCCTTCACTGCCAATGCAGCTTACAAAATGGTCAAACTGCATCTGGCCAGTTGCTCACCAGTCAGTCTCCCTCTCTTACTGTCTCTGCTCAGCCTGTCCTCCTAGCAAGCAGTCCATCCACCTCTGTAACTTTTTTCTGAGGTTCAGGGTGCCAGCATTTTCATCTGTGTTCTGTTTTATTTTGTTTCTTGTATCTTTGTTGTAGAGGGTTTGTGGTATGTTTGCTTAGTCTGCCATCTTGCTGGAAGTCTAATAGCTCCACTATTAACTTCAAATTGTTTCAACACTCTCTCATATTCTAATCATGTAATTTCAATTTTTTTTTCATGAAATATCTTCTTTACAACTAGATATTTTACTTTTCTTGCCTTTGCATTTTATTTGATTTTTTTTTGTTTTTAATTTTTATTGTGAATTGAGTGAAAGTTTGCAGGGCAGATCATCAGTTCTACATTCAACAAATAATACACTTTGTTTTATTGCAATGATTATAAACCTTTCCATGTACCATCAGATAACAGTTTTTCTCTCTATTCACTATAGCTCTTTTTTTTTTTTTTTAAAAACACTCATGCATATATAATAATTACACTACCAAAGGGCACATTCTGCAAGTCTGCCTCCTGGCCACCAGCTCTTAGTCCCTCCTTTCCCATGAATCGAAAGTCCTCAGCTACTCCCTCTCTCCATGTCCCTATCTCTGCCTCCATCTCTGGCATTGCTGCTTCTCTGGATAAGGTCCCACATTCTGCTTGTGCTCTTCTTCCTTGATGGCCGTAGGGTCCTCTGTTTCTGCACTGTAAGATTAACTACTCCCCTGTTTTTGTTACAAACCATTACAGTTCTGACAGTCGCAATTAGTCATGATAACCATTACTTCTTCAATATTGAATCATAAGAATCTTATCCCATCTTTTTTCACCAGATCCATCTAGACAAGATGAAAATTATTCAGTAGGGATTCTTTCTTCCCCCCCACACTCTTAAACTAAACTCCCTCTTGAAACCTTGTAAGCTAGTCACTTCGTGCCTTTATCACCCCACCCCACCCCCCATTTTAGGTAGCCACTAAGCCCCTATCTACCCTGTGTAGAGAGGGGATACCATTGATACTTGATGTGAAGACTTCTTCCCTCTCTGTTGGTATTTAGAGTTACTACCTCCATGCGTATAAGGAGCTCAGGTAGCATAGTGGTTATGAATCGGGCTGCGAGCCATAAGGTCAGCAGTTCAAAACTACCAGCTGTTCCGCGGGAGAAAGATGAGGCTTTCTGCTCCTGTAAAGATTTATACGCTCGGAAACCCTGTACATGGTCGCTATGAGTCGGAACCAACTCCACGGCACATAACAACAGCAACAACAACCTCCATGAATATAGGTCAAGTTCCTCAAATTGTAGCAACTTACCCTCGTTTCCGTTATCAAAATTTGTTTTTTGTTTGTTTGTTTGTTTTTTATTTTCCTCTAGTCAAGTTTTGATTATCAAACCATCAAGGCTAGGTCAAATGGGTACTATATGCAAGTTTGGGTGTTCTTGTGCGTCTCCCCTCACTTCATATCAACTGGATGCTTCACTCTCAGCTCTAGCCCTCTGTGGCTATGTTCTTGTCCTTGGGCTCATGTGTCCCCAGGTCTCACCACACTTTGGACCAACCAGCCCTTCCTCGTCGCTCTCTCATCTCCAGGTCAATGGAAGTCTATAGAACGTGGCTGAACTCAGCCCATTTCTTCATTGCTGCCTTTTCCCCTATTCCACTCACCAGTAGACCAATGTGGTTGCCAGCAAGCTTACATGCTTGCTCATGTGTTCCCTTTGAGTTTTAGTCTTAGAAAGGGATTTGTCCTCAAGGACTTTCATTGCTTGCCTTGATGGCTTCCTGGTGAACAGCTTGCTTATTCTTGTAGTAGCCAGTTATACTGACATTTTTGTTTTGGTTTTTCCTGATGATTTTTCTTTGAAGATGTATCTTCTGTCACTCTAGCTGGTCCACTCTGCTTGTCCTTTCTAGTGGGAATGTCTCACTTTAGTTGAATTTATGGTTTTATAATTGGGAAAATGTTTTGTTACTTTGAAATGCTACTTTATATTTTCTTTTCAATAAAAAATTTCTAGATAAGGGATGATGTCAAAAACTCCTGTCTTTCAGAACCTAACAGTTTTCGAAAGAAGTCTGGTATTTATATTGATGGATTCCAGTTAGGAGAAGATTTTGTTGAACTGCATACACTTCTAGGAAAATCTGCTTTCAAAACTGCAAAATTATATGGCCCTGACATTGGTCAACCTCGAGGAAAGACTGTTAAGATGTTGAGGAGGTAAGAGCCAAAGAAGGCAGAACTACTTTTTAAAAAATGTTTAGAGTGTGTGTTAGTGGTGGTAGAACAATTTGGAAAAGGGCAGGGAGAAGGATTATACAACCAAAAGTAAGTATTCAATGTCATCGAATTATTCATGTAGAAATTATTGAGATAATATGTTTTATGTATAGTTTTCACCATAAGGAAAAAAATGTAGAAATTGGTGAGATAATATATGTTTTGTTATGTTTATTTTTCACCGCAAAGGAAAGAAAAAAACACTAATTTACATGTTATTAACTGCCTGACTAGATTTTTTTTTTTAACCAAAAAAGGAAAAAAAAAATTTTTTTTTTTTACCAGTGTTTACCAAAATGGAAAGTATTGACTGACTCGGAATACTAAAGGTTCTGAGGTAAATGAAACCTATGATAAATTTTTCTATTAGAATTAGGATATCATAACTAGCCTGATGCTATAATAACTAGCCCAGTCCATTTCAAGGGAATAAGATTCTTTGATATATGTTATATGAGACTATATTATGACAGAGTGGAATTTGTTTTCTAGTTTCCTGGAGGCTGGAGGAGACGTGATTAATTCAGTTACGTGGCATCAGTAAGTCTAGCTCCTGTTCTTTCACTAGAAAAGTAGTGCTAGCTCTCTTAATACTTACTCTTCTAAAAATTATTTCCATCTAGCTGCTAATTGTGTTTTTAGCTCAAACAAGAAACAAATAGTGTATCAAACTGCATAATACTAGTATTTTCATATTAATAAAATAAAAATTGAAGTTTACTTTAAAAACTATACTCGTTTTGATAAGATCAAGGCACCCTGTCACTTGATCCACTGTGTCCTTTCAAAGACAGAGTAACTATTTTCTAATTATTTTGATAAAATGGATGCTTCAGTTATCTAATGTTGTTATAACAGAGATACCACAAATAGAAATTAAACAAACAGAAATTTGTTCTCTCACAATTTAGGAAGCTAGAAGTCCAAATTCAGACTACAACTCAGTCTATCCATTGCTGTTGAGTGGATTCGGACTCATAGAGACCCTATAGAACAGAGTAGAGTGATTCCTTAGGATTTCCAAAGCTGTAAATCTTTATAGAATCAGAGAGTTTCATCTTTGTGGTGTTTTTGAACTGCTGTCCTGGTGGTTAGCAGTCCAGTGCTTAACCCACTGTGCTCCCAAGGCTTCACAAAAGCTTTAAGAGAAAGCTTTTTCTCTCTGTTCACTTTGAGGGAAGGTCTTGTCTCCTTCCAACCTTTATGGACCCTGCATCCCTGTGTCTCTGCATCAATCTTCACCTGGGCTTAAGAGGTTCTCAGTGCAGGGACTCTGGGTCCAAAGGACTCGTTTTGCTCTAGGCTCATCTTTCTTGACTGTAATCAAGCTCCTCTGCTCACTTCTCTCCTTTGAGCTATTGTTAGATAAATGTACGACTCAAGCAAGGGTGTGACTTTAGTAAGAGAGTTCATTACTTTAGAAGGGTGGTGACTTGCATAAGGATATGGATGAATCTTGCCCTTTTGTAATGCTGTAACTCAAGATACAGCCCATCCTAATCCTGCCTCATAAACATATAAAGGTTAGGATTTACAACACATATAGCAAAATGGAAGAGAATTATATCAGATCACAAAATGGAGGACAATTGTACACTACTGGGACCCATGACCTATCCACATGTTTTTTTGGGACACATTCAATGCACAGTGGATTCTCCTTCATGTCCTTCTTCCATCTTGGTCTCACCCGAGTAGAACATCTGCCTTTTTTTTTTTTTTTTTTAACTGCATGAGGGTGGGAGAGGTAGGAAAGAGAACAAGGGCATCCAATTAACTGAAAAGCAAAAAGTTAAAGCTTGTTATTTTTTCTGAATATTTTCTGAATAATTTAGCTACTATTTGAATGGACGAATTGCTACCAAAGAAGACTTTCTAAACCCTGATGTACTGGACACTTTTATTTTATCCACACAAAAAATTTTCCAGGTAATAGTTTTTTTTTTGTTTTTTTTTTAAAGCAAAATCAGTCCTTATTTTGTAGTGTAGATAGTTCTAAATTCTAAAGGTATAAAAGTGTACACGTTTTTCTAAGCTTCAGGTATGTGCTTATTGAAAACAAGCAGTATCTTAGTCACCTTTGGCTCCCTTTAGCCTAGGATTTTACCCATATACATTAATTAGAGATAGAAAGCACTTTCAATAGACTGTATTAGAATTAACTATCACAGACCTGTAAAATAGGTTTGTTTGCATTTTGCACACCCTGCTATTCCTATAAAAGCAAATTGCCCAAGACCGGATGACTGGAACATATTTTATAACTATATAACAGATGGGCACAGTTCACAATGAATACAAGGTTTTAAATGTTGTTAATCTTCAGCATCATGGTTAGTCAGTTTCTTTGTAATTACCATGGAGACTTTCTTGTTCCATAGGTTGTTGAGGAGACCAGACCCCACAAGGTTTGGTTAGGAGAAACAAGTTCAGCGTATGGGGGTGGAGCACCCTTGCTGTCCAACACCTTTGCAGCTGGCTTTATGTGAGTAAAACGACACTACCTCAAGGATCCAATTGCAGCGGGGCCCCTACCCTCTGTTCAGTTGAAATAACTCATCAATCAAAGAGCAGACCAAAAGTTGGCTTGTTGCCAAGCCTCAAAATTTATGCCAGATTTTACAAGGAAGTGATTTGCTAAACCTTGTTGAATATCTTTAATGTGACTTAAATTAATCATTGCAAGAATGAATTGGTTTAGAAATTTTGGTTCTTAAATAACCAAACCAAACCAGTTGCCACTGAGTCAATACTTATTCATGACGAAGCTCGTTATAAAAGAGTGCACCTCAGTTTTGAGTCAGAGAAGGATATTTATTATATGAACTATACTCATATTCCCAAGAGGTTTGGAGCATTAAATATGAGTTCACACTAGAGGGATTTCCAGTGAAATAAAAAATTTACCAAGTCACCTCATGATCCAACTACCACAAGCTTGATTGCTTTAGAATACTGATTTATCTACATTTAGTAATCTGTGAATCACTCTTAGTTTCTACCTCTATATCTTTCTCTGGAGTCCTGATGTGGCACCATAGGCTAAGCACTAGACCTCAAGGTTGGTTTGAACCACAAGTTTGGCCATTCAAACTCATCAGGTGCTCTTTGGAAACCCTGTATAGGGGGGTTGCTATGAGTCAGAACCGACTCGGTGGCATTTAACAACAACAATATATCTTTCTCCTGGTGTGGCACTATAGGATCAGCACTGGACTGTGAACCACAAGGTCAGCAGTTCAAACCCACCAGTTGCCCCTCAAAAACCTGATACAGAGCCACTGACTCAATGGCATTTAACAACAACAACAACAACATATCCTTACTTTGGAGTCCTGGTTTGGCACTGTAGGATAAGCACTAGACTGCTAGCCACAAGGTCAGCAGTTCAGACCCCACCAGCCACTCCTTAGAAACAGGGTCACTTGAGTCGGAACTGACTAGATGGCATTCAACAATAACAACCCTTACTCTGGGGTACAGGTGTGACTTGTAGAATAAGCACTAGACTTCCAGCTTCAAAGTCAGCAGTTCAAACCCACCAAGTGCTCCTAGGAAACCCTATGTTGCTGTTGTTGTTAAGTGTCATTGAGTCAGGTCCTATTCATAGCAATCCTATATAGGATTTCCAAGGAACAGCTGGTGAGTTTGAACCGCTGACCATGCAGTTCAAATGACCTTGTAGTCCAGTGCTTATCCTACAGCACCACACCAGGACACCAGGATACTCTATACAGGGTTGCTGTGAGTCAGAACCAACACGGACAACACTTGACAAAAACAACAACATCCTCACTTTAGAATTCAGACATAATTTCTTTTCTCTCCCATTTATTCTTAGAAGCCCCAAACTAAGCACAATCCTGTAGGAAGGTAGAGAAAAGAATCAAGATGTTTGTTTTATACTATTCATCAAAGGTGCAGAGAGGAGGGAGTTGGACTGTCCTCTCAGGATGAGGAATGCATATTCAGTGTCTGTTCTGCTTTGTAGCAGAGATTCCCTGCTAGCCTTCAAGGTTTGTTCTCATGTTGAAGTCTGGGAAGATGTGAGAAAAGGATTCCACTGCTGCTACACTGAGTGTCCGTGCCACTCAAATGACTTGTTTATAAGGAATGTCGCTTTTATATTTTCCCGTCAGTGCCTCCCATGTAGATGAATAAACCAAGATAGCACATAATTAGAATTATTTTATTTTCCAAAGTTGAAGAAAGATGGGTCTCTATCTCTGCTCCAGGTGGCTGGATAAATTGGGCCTGTCGGCCAGAATGGGCATCGAAGTGGTGATGAGACAAGTGCTCTTTGGAGCAGGAAACTACCACTTAGTGGATGAAAATTTCGAGCCTTTACCTGTAAGTGATCATCACTTCCCTCTTTCTGTGAGTAGATAAGAGGATGCTGAGGGCCCACTGTCACCCTTCTGTGAATAATCAGTTATTCATTGCCCTCAATAGCTAGCCAAACCATAGAATGATGAGTTGGAAGAGAACAGAAAGATCATCCACTCTACCACTGTTGTTTTTCAAGAGAAGAAATTGAGACCCAGAAATAGCTTGTTTAATATTGGTGATTTGGACATGGTATGGGATTTTTCCAAAAATGAATAGATTTTATTTTTGTTCTGTTGTGCATAAAGTCACTGTGAGTCAGTACTGACTTGATGACACTTAGCAACACTAAATAATAGTAATAAGCATACAGTGCAGAATCCCTTTTCCCACACCTCCAAGTTCCCTATGATTAAGCTCTTGATTCCTGTGATGCATTTGTTAAAATTGATGGGCCGTTATTGATACATTATTAATTAAATTCCATAGTTTACATTGCAGTTCATTCTTTGTGTGGTATAGTCTAATGGGTTTTGGCAATACATAGTGCCATGTATACACCATTTAATAATATACAAAACAGTTTCACTGCCCTAAAATCCCCTGCGTTCTTTCAGTTCTTCCTGTCATTCTCCCCACAAGTCCCTGGCAACCAGTGATCTTTTTATTTTTACTTTTTCCAGAATGCCTTAGAGTTGGAATTATACAGTATATAGCCTTTTTCTTTCTTTCTTTTTAAAGTTTTTATTGTGACTTGAGTGATAGTTTACATGGGGGAACATCAGTTTTACACTCATCTTATCGTATTTCATTTCATTGCAATGATTGCAATCCCTTCCATGCATCATTATTCAGCAATATTTGCTTATTACCTCTGTTTTTTGTTTTGAATGTACACAAAAACACTCAGGAATATATAATCATTTAAACAACCAAAGGGCACATTCTGCAAGCCTGTTTCCTGGTCACCAGCACACAGCCTTTCTCTTTCCATGAGTCTGGAATCCTCAGCTGCTCTATCTCTCCATGTCATCATATCTGCCTCCATCTCTGGTGTCACTGATTCTCTGGATAGGGTCTCACATTCCACTCATGCTCTTCTCCCTTGATGGTCTTAGGGTCCTCTGTTCCTGGACTGTAAGATTAACTAATCACCCCCCCCCCTTTTTATTTTTTTCAAAACTTCTATCTTAACAGTTGTGACAATCACTATTAATCTTGATAGCAATTACTCACTAGTATATAGCCTTTTCAGACAGGCTTCTTTTACTTAGCACTAGGCTTTTAAGGTTCCTCCATACCCTTTTGTGGCTTCATAGATCATTTCTTTTTATCACTGAATAATATTCCACTGTATAGATGTACCACAGTTTATCTATTCAAATATTGAAAGCCATTTTGGTCACTTTCTGTTTTTGTCAGTTATGTCTGAAGTTACTATAAATATTCATGTGCGGGCTTTTGTGTAGACAAAATTTTTCATCTCATTTATGTAAATATTTAGTGTGATTTCTGGGCCATATGGCAAGACTGTGTTTAGTTAGTTATGTAAGAAACTACCAGGTTGCTTTTCCAGAGTGGCTATACCACTGCATTCTTTTCAGCAGTGAATAAGAGTTCATCCTTACCAACTTTTAATATTGTCAGTTTTATTGAATTTCAAACATTCCAGTATATGTGTAATTGTATGTCATTGTTGCTTTAATATATTGTTCCCTGATGACAGGATTTTGAACATCTTTTCATATGCTTACTTGCTAACCGTATATTCTTTTTGTTGTGGTAACTTTTGTACATCTATTTGCTTTTCTTATTATTTCATTTAAAAAGTTATTTGTTATATTTTAGATACAAGTCATTTACCACATAAGTGTTTTGCACATATTTTTCTAGTCTATGATTTGTATTTTCATTATTTAAGTGTCCTTACCAGAATATAGGAGTCCTGGTGTGGTGCTGTGGGTTAATGTGCCAGACTGCAAAGTCGTTTGAACTGCAAGGTTGGTAGTTCAAGCTCACCAGCTGCTCCTTGGAAACTCTATATAGGGTTGCTGTGGGTCAGAATTGACTTGATGGCACTTGACAACAGCAACAACCAGAATATAAGTTTTTAATTTTAGTGAAATAGGACTTACTCACTTTTTTTTTCCTCTTTCTTTCTTGTATCATGCCTTTAGTGTTGTACCTAAAAAGTCAACCCCAAACTCAGTGTCAACTAGATTTTCTACTGCTGTCTTCTGAAAGTTTTGTAGTATGGTATTTTACATTTACACCTATGAGTCACTTTGAGTTAATTTTTATCAAAGGTATAAGGTCTGTCAAGATTTTTTCTTTTATTTTTTTGGAGGTGGTGGGGATGGAAGCTTGTGAATTTCCATTTGTTATGGAACTGGGATTTTTTTTTTTTTTTTTTTTTTTAAGGGCTAATGTGAAGTTTTACAACTCACATTTTACCAGGTAACAAACTTGTATTTTTTTCTTCTTTTTTTTTTTTAAGCAAGGTAAACCGAAGTAAAAATTGCATACAGTATCCACTACTTCAAAACTTTTAGATGTATGAAATAATACTTTATTTAACTTTAAATAAGCCCATATCATAGATTTGCTCAAAAAGTTCAACTTAAAAATTGACTGTTTTGTTAATAATATTAAAAATATTTATGACTACAGTCTTATTTCCCTACCTCCAACTATATTTGGTGCTAAATCAAGAAATGTAGTCTTTCTAACCAAAAAGGAAGGTATATACAAGGGGGCTTCAAAAGGTCTTGAAAAAATGAAATTATCTTTACATTCCATTATTTTCACAGACTTCTTGAAGCACCCTTTTATGTTTAAAAATAGGGGTATTATGTGTAGCTAAATTGTTATGTGCTCTCTCTCAAGTTAGTTCCAAATCATAATGACCCTTTAAAAGGTTTGAACTACTGACCTTGCAGTTACCAATTTAGTGCTTATTCTACAGCATCATACCAGAGCTCAAATATGGATATAGAACTATGAAGTATGAACTTGGCTTTTATCATCTAAAATGCCACTTGAGAATATATGTTTTTGTTTTAATTTTTATTAGATTTACATTGAACAAATCATACACTTTGTTTCATCTCAATGTAACAGCAGTTATCTCACTTCCTCGCTGTGTTTTCTATTTCCATTCCACCATCTTACCATCACTTTTCAACTTTGTCCTTAGGAAAATATTTTCCTATTGATTTTACCCTGAAATCTACCTGACCTCCCCACCACCTGGATCTCTATTCCTATATTTTCCCCTTCTTTCACATTGTAATTGTTTTGATCATAGACTGACATTCCAGAATCTCTAATTTCGTTCTTGTAATTTTTTTTTCTGCACTGGATGCTTCCATCTCTTGACTGAGTTGCCACATATGTCAGTCTCTGGTTGCTGTCTGTTCTTGTTGGTTCTCAGTTCAAAGAATTCTCTTTAGAATGGTTTGAAGTACTGGCTTGGCTTTTACAAAGTCCCTTAACTTCTGTTTATCCTGGAATGGTTTGATTACACTGTCATATTTGATTGACAACTTTGCTGGGTAAACGATTCTTGGTTGGCAGTTTTTTTCTTTCAGGAGTTTGTATCTGTCTTCTAATTGCCTTCTTGTCTGCATGGTTTCTGCTGAGCGATCAGAGCTTAAACTTATTTGCTTGCCTTTGTAGGTAACACTTCTCTTTTCCCTAGCTGCTTTCAGGATTCTCTCCTTTCCTTTGATTTTGGAGAGCTTGACTGTTATATATCTTTTTGGGGCTCTATCCTTCCTGAGATTTGTTCAGCTTCTTGAATGCTTATCTTCTTGTTTTTCAGGATGTTAGTGAAATTTTCTTCCAGAAGTTCTTCAGCTATCTCCTCTATGGTTTTCTGTGATTCTTCCTGTTCTGGGACTCAAATCATCCATAGGTAATTCCTCTTAATGTAGTCCCACATGAACAGATTTTCTCCATATTTTTTCATTCTTTTTTCTTCTTGCTCTTCTATCTTAGTAGTATTGAGATATTTGTCTTCAAGCTTACTGATTCTGGCTTCCATCCCTTCAATTCTCCTCCTTTGCCTTTTCAGTGTATTTTCTGTTTCTGATATTTAGATATTAATCATCTGGACCTCTTTTTGCATACTTTGAATTGTTTCCAATAGTATTCTCTTACTTTATTGTTCCTGTAGCACTTTTCTGACTTCTTCCTTCATTTCCTCAACCTTTCTGTAGAACATGTGGATGCACCTCAGTATCATCCACCTAAATTCCTTATTGGGCAGTTCCAAAGCCTGCAGTCCTTCCAATGGAAATTCTAGGTCTACCTCCAGCTTATTTTTATGAGCTACTCTTATTTCTGGACATGAGCAAATTTTTCTGGTTTTGGTTTTTTTAGCCATTGTGGTGCTGTTATATTTTCAATAGTTAGGTGACTGTATGTTAGTGTAGTCGTAAGCTTTCTAATTACCTCCTTGTAGATGTGATCAGGAAATGTGTTTCTGTTTTCACTTTTCTTTCTACTCAACTCAGAGTGACTTTAGCAGGTGTTGGTTATTTATGCTGTTCTGGTGTATAGTAGCTGGTATTGGTTCTTGCCCAGATGTTGGGATTTTATAGGGTGTAATTGTATCTTGTTGGGTAGGGCAAGGAGAGAAAAATCCCTGTTCCAAGATAAAAGGGGGACCAAAAAACCAAACTGGACACTGAAGTCCAAAATCACCACACACACAAAATACATAGCAAAATATGAGTAAGACTTTAGCACCCCTCTTTTGGCTTCTTGCCTTCAAATTTGCCTGAGAAATTTCAAAGTATTCCCATTGCACCTTCTGATGTAACACAAGATTTAGTTTTTGTCCTCCCCCACACTTTTTCCTCTCTTGCCTCTCCTCAACAAGGAGCTCTGGTAGCATAGTGGTTATGAATCAGGCTGCTAACCTCAAGGTCAACAGTTTGAAACTATCAGCTGTTCTGTGGGAGAAAGATGAGGTTTTCTGCTCCCATAAAGATTTACAGCCTTGGAAACCCTATACAGGG